GATTATACTGTGATTTCCAGTAGATACAATCTAACATTTGCCTTAGAATAGGTCATGATTTGAATTCTTTACTGAATTGGAAAGTAAGTAGTGTGCCAGTACTACTTCTCTGAGTGCTAGAGTAACATAACAAAAATTCATATTGTTTATAGGAAAAGCTGTTTACATAGTGCTGTTGGTCATCCTTGGCAGTTTCCATGGAAGAGGCAGATGCCTGACACAGGATGGAGATGAAGTAGAATCTGGAGTATAGAAAAAGTAAATGCTCAGATTTGTTTGAATCATTTGACCATCTGAAAACTTACAGTATGACAGCCCATCCTGCAGATAAGCTTCATAATGTGGGTTGTTTATAGACAGCCCACATTGCAGCTGATAGTTGATGTGACTAATCATGGATTATTCTCCCTTGCTTCCCCATTGGTCTTCGGGCATTCCTTGTGGCACAAACAATCTTGTCTCCCCTTTCTCCAAGTTGCCATCTCTCCCCATCCCAAATGCCAAAGAGCACAATAGAGTCATTCCTTGATTTAAAAAGTATTGAGCCCAACATACGTATACCTGGTCTCTGGGTGAAGAAACTGATCTATTCCTGAGATAGTTTTGAGTTTGTATGTAAGTTGGATTGCATATATAAAAAGCATATAAAATACTTAAGAAGTAGTTCCATATACACTAAAATATCTTAAACACAATACAGCATTTTAATAATGATAATACAACAATAATAAAGCAATAAGTACTGTAGAGAGAGACATAATCTGTATGTATGTGTTTTTGTATACAGTACTGTTCTTAAAATAGTTTAGATAGAATTATAGAAAAAGTAGTAAAAGAATTATTAAAAGTTAACACTTCTTGAGCTTATGTTCTGCTTAACATTAGATAATGATGGAGATGGGATTCCTTTATCCTTTAGAACAGGGGTCCTGAAATGTTTTGAACAGGGAACCAGTTGGAAGGTGCCAGTGGTGGGTGCGGGCTGGCAAGGTGGTGCCAGCAGGGGGCACAGGCCAGTGAGGGGGCGGGGAGCAGGGAGCACGCAGGGCGAGGCAGCGGCTTGCTCGTTCAGAGATGGTTTTCTCTGAGCGAGTCCAAAACGATCTCCCTGTGAGCAAGCCGCCACTGGGCGTGAACAGGGTGAGGCGCCAGCTTGCTCGCGAGGAGATAGTTTTCTCCAGCAAGTCCAAAACGATCCGCATGCCTGTGGGGCGAGTTCAAAACCTATGTGGTGGGCCAGTTAAATTGGCATGGCAGGCCGTAGTTTGAGGACCCATGCTTTAGAATGTCACTAGCTACATGTTATCTGAAACACACTGGCTTGGATACACTAGTTTTTCACAAGCATGAAAAACTATCATAGTTCTGCAACCACTGCAGAACTAGTTCTGACTTTTACTACTTGTTGCTTTTCCCTTCGTCTTTCCCTTTCCCTCCCTTTCTCTCCTTGCTACCTGGCGCATACCACCCATGGGTGCTCTCCTGCCACTTAAGGATGAGATAGGACTTCTGGGCTTTTTCGTAAGTAGGGGTTCTTCTTAACTCAGATGTTCATAACTGAGGGCTGGATGTACTATTTAAAAAACTTTGTTGTCATTCTTTCAGATTTACAAAATTTGCTTTTTTGCATTTCTATTATATACAGCCTTGCCTGATCTATCCTTATTTGGGGAATTTGCACACTTTCTTGTCAGGGAAATTATATGTAAATATGTAGCTAGGAAGTAAATGAAAGGGAAATGTGTAACAAATTATATGGAATCTCTCCGCCATGACCAACCTATTATGGATCAATCAACAGCTAGAAAAAGTCATGAGTTATCGGGGTGGCTGGTTGCCACCAAATAAGCTACTCTGTGGGAAGTGACTCAGATTTGGATCACATGACAACCCACTGTGGGTTGTAACTCATGAATTGCTCTGTCATGTGAGCAATGTCTGTGATTCCTAAGTTTGTATGATTCCTTTTGGAATTGCAGGTGTTTTGATTTTTCTGTGGTTTAACTGCTTTGGACACAATTATGTAGTGTACCAGTAGCTTTCTGTAACATTACCTGCTAGATGAATTTGTAAGTCCACAATCCTTGATCTAGAGTTGTGTTTTGTAGTCAGGGTACTCTAGTACAATAAATCTGAACTATTTCAATGTGTACTAATGATCTCTCATTAGGAAGTATTTTGGAAAAGCTTTTAGGGTGCTCACTTCCAATATAACAGTTTTGTAAAGGTGTAATCTAGTCTCTTCTCACAATTTCAGAATCTATGGTATTCCTAATTACATGTGCTATGGGTAGATGAATGCCCCTTTGTTAAGCAATGTGATCCAATAGACATGTTTTAAATAAACAAACAAACAATAGCAGAAAATATCTTCTAATATTCCTTCCATTTTAGTTTTGAAAGACACTTGATCTATTCCTAAGTAAGGGAACTGTCCTATTAAGAGAAGCTATTTCTATTTATGTATTTCTAATCACTAATTTAATACTGCATGAGAGAAAAATGATTGATTAGTAGGTTCTATCATGTATTCAACTGACGATGGATAAAACCATAAAAAACTAGTTAAGTGTAATAAAGACTCATTGCAGATGTAATGTTAACCCATGGTTTAGCATTTGAAAAATGAGTTATGGTGAGCCTCTAGCTCATGTGTGTACTGTGGTTTATTCAAAATAGTTTATTTCAAACAAACTGGAAACTATATTTTCACTCCATGTTTATATAACTAAACTGATTTTTAAAATTTGGATTCAGCAGGGAACTGGTGGGACGCTATGTTGATTGAACTCAGTAAATTGAAACTGGGAGTTTTCAAACCTACAAGTGCTTTGGTTGTTGTTACATGATATAATATATGGTGCCAAGTCATCGCCAATTATGGCAGGCCTGTGAATGAATGCCCTTCAAGGTCCTGTCCTTGACAGCCCTGATCAGCTCCTGTAAATTCAAGACAGTGGCTTCCTTTATGGAATTGAACCATCTCATATTTGTTTTTCCCCTTTTCCCTGCCTTCAACTTTCACTATCATTACTGTCATTTCCAGTGAGTCTGTTAGTCCAGGGTATTTGTAAAGCTCTCCTCTAGTGCCATATTTCAAACACATCAGTTTTCTTCCTGTCAGCTTTCTTACCTTGTCTGATATCTTTGCCTTTAGGAAACAATTTTGCTTCTCCATGATTGGTCCTAGCAATAGCTTCTTGTCCATTTGGAGTGCCTCTTCCTTCTTGGAATCCAGCTTGAATGGTAGGCTTTTCTTGCTCCATACAGGATAATTTTGTTGCAACACCCTGTGCATAGCATTGCTAGCATGGGAATTTAGTGCAGTGGCCCTATAGTTACTGCGCTCTTTTGCGTCTCCTTTCTTGGAGATTAGTGTGTGTGTGTTTCTAGTCTGTGGTCCATTTTTTGTTTTCCATATTTGTTGGTATATTCTTATTAGGATTTGGACCAATTCAGTCTCCGCAGCTTGGAATAGTTCTGTTGGTACCCTATCTGCATTTTATTCCTTAGAAGTGCTTTCAGAGCAGTTTTCACTTTACTTTCTAATATAGCAGGTTTTAACTCATTGGATTCCTCTTTAGAGGAGCCTGTCATCCTGTCATCTCTTCTGTACATAATATATGGTTTCCACCTTCTCTTCATTTTCTCCTGGTCAGATAGTATTTTCCTCTGTGGGTCTTTCAGCATTTCTAATCTAGTTTTGAATTTCCTTTTGATTTCTTAGATCTTCTGGAAGAAGACTCTTGTTCTATCCCTTTTGTTGTTCTCCTCTATTTCTTTGTCCCAATCCCAACCCATACCCCTTCTCTTAATAGTTCTTTTTATCTCTATGTGACAGTTACTGAAAAGTTCCATTTAAGATTCTGAAGCTATTTCTGTCACTCCTTTTGCTTCTCACTTGTCCTTAGCAATTGTGAGACTTTTTTTGCATTCTTTCATAAGAATGTCTGTTATTCAATTCAGAGTTCTTCTGATTCACAATCAGTTGACTTTAGTAATTCACATCTGTTCTTTATGTGAACTTTAAATTCATCAGGAATGTTATTTAATTTGTATTTTTGCACTGTGCTCCTTTTAATGGTATTTCTCAGCTTTACTATGATTTTTGATAACAAGAGTTCATGGTTAGTGCTGCAATCTGCTACTGGTCTTGTTTTGGCAGCAAGAATACAGTTCAGCTTCTGAAGACATTTGTTTCATTTATTGGTCATGTGGTGATGTCTATGTATACAGTTGTCTGGCTGGTTGCCTCAATTATATATTTGCAATAAACAGACGGTTGGCTTTCTTGATTCTGTGAGTAATTTTTCTCTTTTGTTTCTGACCTTTAGGCCAAATTCTTCCATAACAGTGCATTCTGCTTTTTCTCCTACTTTTTCATTCTGGTTGCCTAAAGTTCTCAGCATATCTTCTTTTGGTGTGTTATCAGTTTCCTCTTGGACATTCACCCAGAAGTTTTCAATTTCTTCTTTGTTGTCACCCTTTGTTAGGAGTGCAGGGGTGTAGGCTTGATTGGTGGTTATGTTGATAGGCTTTTTACAAGTTCTGATTGATATTATTGAGTTCAACTTTGCATGATAGCCTCTTACTGCTTCTGCTACATCTTGCCTCAATATCAGAGCCACTATATTTCTTTTTAATGTGTAATTTCCAGAATCAAATAGTTTGTCTGACTTAAAATGTTCACCACAGTTCCCTCACACCACCTACTGCAATATTTAAGCATTTCATGTCTTGCTTTATGGTTTCCCATTTTCCTTGAATCGTACTTCTCAAGTTCTCCATGTTCCAAATATATCCAGACACATGAGGAGAAATGGGCAGGAGAGAGTGCATGAGCTTGAGGCTTGCCATGACTTGTTCTCATAATGAGCTAAGGCTTTGAAATTAGTCATGCTTCTGAAGAACTTGAATTGGATACTCCCCCCCCCCCAGGGTTGTGAATTGTATATAATGTGCATATTCTAATATATTTATTCTTACTCTCTTTTTTAAAGCTTTCTGCCTGAAACAATTTACTTCAGGGAGTGCAGGATGACAGAACGTGGAATGAAATGGGCTTGCGAGTATTGTACATATGAAAACTGGCCATCTGCAATCAAGTGTACCATGTGTCGTGCTCAGAGACCTAGTGGAACTATCATCACAGAAGATCCATTTAAGAGTACTTCAAGTGATGTTGGCAGAGACTGGGAACCTACATGTATTGAAGGAGGCAGCAGCCCTTTGATATGTCCAGATTCCAGTGCAAGACCAAGAGTTAAGTCATCCTACAGTATGGAAAGTGCAAATAAGTGGTCATGTCACATGTGCACATACTTGAACTGGCCTCGTGCAATAAGATGCACTCAGTGCTTGTCTCAGCGTCGGACCAGGAGCCCCACAGAATCTCCTCAATCTTCAGGGTCTGGTTCAAGACCAGTTCCTTTCTCTGTGGATCCTTGTGAGGAGTATAATGATAGAAATAAATTGAATATGAGGACACAGCACTGGACTTGTTCTGTTTGTACATATGAAAACTGGGCTAAGGCTAGAAAATGTGTTGTCTGTGATCATCCAAGACCCAACAACATAGAAGCAATTGAATTGGCGGAAACGGACGAGGCTTCTTCAATAATAAATGAGCAAGACAGAACTCGGTGGAGGGGGAGCTGTAGTAGTAGTAATAGCCAAAGAAGATCACCTCCAACAACAAAACGGGAATCCGAAATGAAAATGGATTTTCAGAGAATTGAGCTGGCTGGGGCTGTAGGCAGTAAAGAAGAACTTGAAGTTGACTTCAAAAAACTAAAGCAAATAAAAAACAGAATGAAGAAGACTGACTGGCTATTTCTCAATGCTTGTGTTGGTAAGTTTTTTTTTGCCATATCTCATGCTCAATTGAAGTCTTCAATGCTCAATGAACTCTCTTTGTATGAACAGGAATGTTGTGTTTCCCATTCCACAGTATAGCTCTAAGATATGTGTTAGACATAACAGCTGCATTTCACAAGTGTTTGCAAACAGTGTAGATATTACATAAGTCTGTGGCTGTAAGTAATGACAGATATGTGGTTCTTGCTTGCTCATAGTCGTAGTAACAAATATTTTCACTTTGATCATAGTGACTAACATTATTTTTCCTGTAACTGTGTAACATATTATAAAAATAAAAGTTAAACTTTAAAACTGTCATTAATAAAATTGGTGTTGTTTGGATGTCTTTTCCTTAAGGTTAATTCCAGCAGGGGATGTGTGTGATTCTTTTCTTTTGGGATTGCAACTGGGAAGGGAACAATTTAAGACTTCCCTCCCTATACTCAGTGACCCTGATGAAAAATGCTTTCCTGCCTAGTATATATATATTTAAAATGTATATTTAAAACAAGATTGTATGTAGTTGCTAAAAATGCATTTAGCCTGACAGAGGACAAGGATATCAATAACAGCTTATGATGGCTATATTTTACTTACAGCATCAGAGGCACTTGTCACAGACTGGGATGTGGGTGGCAGGAGTCAAGACAGAGGCACCAGGCAACATAATTTGAGGCAAGATAGAAAGTCCAATAGCAAGTTGTAGGCACAGAACAGACCAAGGCCAGGAATCAGGACATGGGAAGACAAGAGCATAGTTATGAACAAGCCAGTGGTTGAAAACCAGGAAGACAAAGAGAGCAGGGTGCTGGTGTCTTAAGGCAGAATAACCTGGCACGGTTCAGGAAAAGCAAAGCAGAGTGGCAAACAAGGCAAGGTAGCAAGGCAAGGTGACACAAGACAGCATGTTGCAGCAAGTCAAGGCAGGAACCAGATATGTCAAGGGTCAGGCAAGTTGTAGGAGCTGGAATGCACTGCAGCTAGCCAGAGAACCTGCATTTTGGAGGCAATACAACAATGGAGGATTCCGCAAGTCAGGATAGAACCAGATGGACAAAACCACAGCTCCGAGGAAGCCCTGCATTGCTAAGGTAACACAGCAAGGCAGGACATGGCAAGGTGCAGGAGCCTGAGTCATGCCACAGCTAAAAGGAATATCTGTATTGCAGTAGTGAGACAGCAAGGTGCAGGATGCAGGCACTGAAGCAAACAGGCAGACACTTGTTGCTGAGGGAAATGCTTGCATTTGTATGGTTCTTTCGCTAAGTTACCAGCAGGTGCTAATCAGGAAGTGAAGTCCAGCAGGGCTTGGGACACAGCCTGCAATTACTAAGAAGTGTCTTTTGGTTTTGGCCATCAGATAGAGGCCCAGAGCAGCCCAGATCCTGACAACAGTAGGGCTTTCAATATGATTTGCTAGGAAACTATTGTGTATGTCTTTATTGCTCATGGTGATAGGCCAGCACAAATTCAAAAAAGAGAATAAGTTGCAGGAAAAATACAGCCCAGTTTCAAATACAAAAAGTTATAAACCATTAAAGATCATACCATTATACTAAAATATAACAATTACAATAACCTAATTAAAATCACACATCTGTTCTCTAGGAACAAGTAAAATAAAATAATCACTATCTATAAAATTAGTATAAAACTCTGACGTTCTGCCATTATTTTCTAGCAGACAAGGCAAACTTCACCATTTGGGTCAGAATATATGCATTATTGCCTGCAAGCAATATACCCATCTTGTCCAACAGAGATCTATTTGATAGAGAATTGAGGATATGATTGAGGAAGGCTATTATACTTCTGTTTTTAGGCTTCCCATAGACGTCTAGTTGGATATTGTGGAAACAGAATGCTGGAATGGATAAGCCGTTAGTCTGCTCTTATGTACTTTAAACCTCAGTTGTAGTAGGGCATGGGAAAGATATGGTTGGATTTTGAGGAATAATGTGTAGGAACAGAATCATAAAGTTCTAAGCATTAGGAGGAGCAGGGGAGAAAGATTGCAAATAGGAGTGTACCGCAGATTTTATTGCAATATAAAGCACTGTTCGGAGATACTTAGATTTGGAATGTAGATTCTTTCCTCATAGGCTTGATTCAGACTAGGTTAGAGGGTACTCATCAACACTAATGGGACAAGTTAGTCATTGGTTACTGAAGTCACATTGATTTTAGTAGACCAGTTCTAAGCTTAGTCTGGATGCAACCCATTCCTCTTCTAGGAATAGAGAAATTTAGGGTTGGTAATGTGTTAGAAATAATGTTCATTGCTGTTTTACTATTTTATGGTAATACACACAAATGAAGTTTAATATATAGCTATATATATTAAACTGTCTTGAATTTTCTTCCGCACTTGAAGATGAGGAATGTTCTTGCTTCCTTTGTTGAATGTTTGGAGTGTTGGTGTTTGAGAAACTTGTGATTTAACATTGATTTCTAATGCAAATACCAGTACTTCATATTACTGTTGCTGTTATTATTGTGGCATTTATACTGTCACAGACAAAGCATATCATATATACACAAGGTGGACCAAAATGCTGTACAGATTGAGTCATGGAAGACTTCATGCAGTGGATGAATTGAAGGAGTTCATCTTGCAAGCGTTTATCAACATTGTCACTTACTCAGGTTCCAGAAGTGTTGCAACATTGATGGAGGACATTTTGAGTACCTAAATGACTAAACATGATCCGATCATGGCCCACTTTTGGTCCATCCTGTATAATTGTAATCTGCTAGGCTTGCAAACTGTGCTCAGCAGTTTGAAGCAAGAAAGACTGTCTTCTAATTGTCCAAGCAAGGATGGACCCCATTATATATTGTTTTTCTTAGTCTTATCTATAGAATTTAAAATGTATGTTCCTTTGTGCCATAAAAGAAACAAGGATATGCAATTATTATTTTAACCAATAATTTTAGAATCAAAATGCAAATTGCTCTTGTATTTTAGGACATCTGTATCTTGTACTGACTGCAGTGTGCCCTTAAAGAACAATATAGTGATTTAAAAAAAATATGATTACATTTTTCCCTGATAAAATTAGTTTCTTCACTGTCTTTTTATAGTGGCTCTTTTCCATAATGATCTTTAGCAGTGATGTTGTCAGTTACTCTAGCATTTATTTAATTCTGCATGTGATCAGTAGTTTGCCTTGTGATACCATTTGTGCCAAATGAAAGGAATACATTCTTCATGGTTCTTCAAAACCTGATTTTGTTTAATGTAGAAAGCATGTTGATGACCTGTCTTGATCATACTAGCAGATCCACTCAGATCCTCTCATATGTCTGCCACATGGAGAATCACTTGTTAAGGTATTTACCTACCTTTGAAATGTTAAGTTCCTGCAGCATTTACAACTTTCAGAAAAAGTTTACAAATATCAGAATGAGCAGCCCCATTCCACAATTAATTAAAAACGAATTAATGTAATTTGATTTCAATTAAAAAAACTGGTGGTGAGTAGATATAAGTACACACTTTTGTACCTTTAAGCCTCAGGTGCTCTGACTGTGGAATAAAAGGGAAGGAGCACAGTTAAAGGTTCACCATTCCTAAGTGACTTTCCAGATCTTGGCAGGGTTTGCTTCCCAGTGACTGGAGAGTATAATGTGTTACCTCTGTAATAAGCTGTTTAAACACAGCAAAAATTAAGAAGCAGCTCAAAATCACAATCTTCTATTTAAATCAGCTATACTATTTGTAATAACACACAACATCTGTTCTGTATTTTCTTTGGAATTGCTTGTAATGATTTCAAATAGTTAGGGTGGAATGTATTGGAGAACCCTGTTTTTTACTTACCAGTTATGTTGAGTTTTCTGATCCACAACATTCCTATTTCAGGGACTGATGCTTTGAATGTATGAAATAGAATGGAAATTGACCTCTATAGTTAAGTGATCACCTATTTTGTTTGTTTGCTTTCTTGCTTGTTTGTTGTTTCCCACTGGACTACTTACTAGTGGACATTTTGCTTATATTTGTAACATTAGATCACACTAGCCTGCATTGCCCATAATGTCAATCAAGAGTATTAGTTGTCATTATCTGCAACTATGGGTTAACTATGGATTATTAACCACAAACAATCCAGGAAAAGGAGCCATTATTCAATATTGGGTTATACTCATAGTTAAAAAGTTATAGTCCTGGGACTCAAGGTGAAGGATGGTATAGACATACTTTTACATACTTACACACATACTGCGTGGTTTCTATTTAATAACAACCCACAATTCAGCGGCAAGAGCAACTTGTACTCAGCTTGTACTTTGAGTTATAATTACATGCAAACCAGGTAAAATTTGTGTCCTACAGAGGCTCAGACTTGAAATACAAAGTTTTGCATTTATTGGAGTTGTACACATATTTCAAAATATGTGCTACCCATATATAAATGCACAGTATGTAACCTAATTATGAAAAATAGAATTTTAATATAGCAAGATAGTACTGATACATCTCCTGATCTACTCAAGTTTGATACTGCAACCCTTGATCAGAAAGGAGCTTTCCTTGGTTCACTGTGAAGATTTGTATGATGTTAGCAAATGATCACATATTCATTAGTGACAGCATAGGAAGGCCTGGTTTGATTATTTGTTACTGATGTTGTAAATTAGTGTTGCTGTTACTCAAATCTTGCATATCATATTTATGTTGAAAAGGCGGCCTTAAGAATTCTTTTATTGCATGCCACTGGGAGTTTATGTTGTCTTAGGACAGTGGTGGCGAACCTATGGCACGCATGCCGCATTGGGCATGCAGAGCCCTCTCTGTTGGCACGCGAGCCGAGTCGCACTAGCATTGCCCCAGCAGCTGAGCATTGGATAACAGCATACATAGTGACCATGTGCATGCTCGGAAAGGAGTAGTGGTGCCAGGTGATGATGTCACAATCAGCGACTCATTAGCTGCTACTCGTCCAAGCTTTCTCATGGCCGGTCAGTGCACTCCCAAGGATATATATATTTACTTGGACTGACTGTGAATTGTTTTTTCTAAACCTCAGTTTTCAGGTTTCATTGCAGTGTTGGCACTTTGCGATATATATAAGTAGCTTTGTGGTTGCAGTTTGGGCACTCGGTCTCTAAAAGGTTCACCATCACTGGGTTAGTGTTACAAAAACAAGGTGTCCTGGCATGATTTCGATTGTTGGAATGTGTTTAGAATGGGCAGAAATGTTGAGATGTGTAGAAAAAGCTACTCAAGGAAGGCATTTTCAAAATTGCATTATTTTCAATGGAATTGTCACCCTAGATTACGGTAGGGTTAGGGTTCGAAAAAAAGGAGGTGTCCTGATGTGATTTTGATGGTTGGAATGTGTTTAGAATGGGCAGAAATGATGAGCAGTGCAGAAAAAGCTACTCAAGGAAGGCTTTTTCAAAATTGCTCTCTTTTCAATGGTATTTTACCCCTAGATCAGGGTTAGGGAGTGCACCAGGATAGGGTTAGGCTTGTGGTGGTGAACCTATGGCACGTGTGCCACAGCGGGCATGCTGAGCCCTCTCTGTCGGCATGCAAGCCATGTTGCCGCAGCATCAGCCCAGCAGCCGAGCATTGGATAACAGCGCACATAGGGGCCATGCGCATGTTTGGAAAGGAGTAGCGGCGCCAGGCAATGACGTCACTAATCATGACTCATTAGCTGCAACTTTTCTGAGCTTTCGCATGGCCAGTTAGTGTGCAGCCAAGGATATATATATATATATATATATATATATATATAAAATTTGCTTGGACTGGATGTGAGGTGTTTTTTCTAAACTGAAACCTCAGTTTTCAGGTTTCATTGTAGAGTTGGCACTTTACGATAAATACAGTGTTACCTCTGCTCACGAACACCTCAGTTCATGACCAAATCGGGTTGTGAACAAGAATTTTATAAAAATTTTGACTCAAGTCGTGAACTCCGTATTGGGTGGTGACCGCGGCCATCTCCCCCCCTCCCCACCGAGTGGGGAGATGGCGGTGATCGTGCTTGGGGCGGGGGGAGTTGGCTGAGATCATGCCCGTCTTTCCTGCATGAGTGCAACCACAATCTTGGCCATCTCCCCCCCCCCCAGCACACCTGCGTTCATGCCCGTCTCTCCCCCCAGCATGCCCGCGATCGCACCTGCCTCCCCCTTGAGCACGCCCGTGATTGCGCCTGTCTCTCCCCCACCCCAAGCATGCCAGGATGACGGGCGCGTGCAGGAATGACGAGCGTGGGTTGTGCTGGGGGTGCGGGAAGATGGCCGCACTTGTGCTCGATGGGGTGGGGAGTAGATGGCCGCGATCTTTGTTGTTTTTTGTAACTTTGCTTCACATTTTTCTGATTAAAAATATAGTTACAGATCGGATTAACCTTATTTACATTGAACCTTATGGAGAAATTTAACTTGGCTCACAACCAATTCGGGTCACAATCAGAGTCCTGGAACAAATTAAGTTTGTGAGCCAAGGTAACAGTGTAAGTGGGTGTTGGCTTTCAGTTTGGGCACTCGGGCTCTAAAAGGTTCGCCCGCACTGTCCTAGGATATAATCTTGCTTTGCAATATAGTAGAGCATAAAGAAGGGAAGAAGCCTCTCAAGGACAACTGCATCAGAGCTAAGTAAGTCACATTAGTTTCCATTGTGGTAGACTGTATGAATGAGCCCTGTGTCTGTTTTGGCAAAGCTGCATTACATGCTAGGTTGGCCTTGCCCTACCTGATGTCTTCCAGATGTTTTGCAGTGCAACTCTCAGTGGTTCCTGCTGGCATGGCCAGTGGTTAGGGGTGATGGGAGTTATAACCCAGAATATCTAGAGAACACTGGGTTGGTTGGGGAAGGCTGTTCTAAATAATTAATCCCTTTCATCTTTTTCCAAGTACCCTGTCTGTATATATTTGTATTACCAGGATGGCATCAACAGTAAAGTCATGGTAGGAAGCTTTGTTCATCCAGACATGTAGGCATTTTAAGGTGAATGTGATATGATAGCTTTTATGCAGAGATTTAAGATTTTTGAATTAACATTTTTGTAGTGTATCAGCTTAGAGTCAGCATTGTTTAATTTCTTCAGAGCTATTTGATCACTACTTTTATTAACTTTGCTTACGTGTCTCTATATACACATCACTAGCCACCTTTCCTTAATGTAACATTTAAATTTTCAAAAACATTGTTGTCACACTGTTTGTATAAATTCCCACTGCTAATGCATGTGATGGCAGAGGGAAAGATTAAAATGATGTGGCAACATTCTTAATGCTTCAGCTTTGTAGTTTTATTATTTACTTATACAGTTTCTAGTAAGATCTGAATGAGTAATTTGATATAAATAATGAAGTTCATTTGATCTTTGAGGATATGGAATTCTAGATATGTGAACAATGGATGCACTGCTAAAATCATAGATATAGGAAATTTATTTAATTTTAAATTCTCTAGCCTAGCTTGAAAAATAATGATAGTAGAACTTGGTTATGGTTGCAAGTGTAAGGCTTTGGCAAGATATACTGAACAGTTTGAATAATAGCCAGCATACTTTGATTAACATGCTTTTTTGACTAACAAATACTGCTATAGCAGTAGAAGAATTGTAGCTCTTCCACCTCCCGCTTGCTTGATATACACATCACAAATGACTTTACAGAACAGTAAGGAGCAGAGATGCTCCACTACATTTGAGATTTTTTAGCACACAGTGGAGCCCTATTATCCTGAATGTCATGCACTGTTATGTCAGGAGAAAATGACTCTGTACAATCAGACAGCCAACTGTGAGTTGTTTTAGCTACCATGAACTGGTTATTTTCATGTGAACCAAGCCACCATGTGCTATACAAAGGTTAAATATCCCTCATATAACCCAAGGTCTGTTGTTAAACTCGCACATAATCTCTGCTGGTCAGGTTTACACAACATAACTCTCAGATGTTGCATATGCAAAATGTTGACTTGCACATTCTGCGACTTACTATGGCCTAAGCAATGCACAGTGGCCTATATGATCATGTGAACTAGCTAGTTGGTTCACATCTTAAGTCCTTTATTTATCTTTGATAACTTGGCTTCTTATTAATCAGGATACATCAACAAACCAGTAAGAAATTGCTATTTGAAATGAAGTATTTCCTTTCTTACATTTGTTTCTACTCAGTTTCTACTTTTTAAAACTCATGTTTAAAGTTTACTTTCTATCTGCTTATGTTCATTTCTTGTTGCATGGCTCATATACAGGAAGAATATGGGCCATGATGTATATTAATAAATATGATTGTAATACATGTAGTATACAGCTGGCTGAAAACATGCTGAAATTGATAAAGATGCTATATACACCTTGTTCATCTGGTGTCATTACTCTTTTTTTAAACTCATGACATAGTCGGTCCTGTTTTCATGTGGCTTTACTGAAATTTAAGATATCTTTATCTTGGTTTTAGCTGCTGCAGTTTAGATTTTAACTGCTTGTTTTTGTTTATTTTTTAAAAATTGATTTTGAGCCTGTATGAGCACCTGGTTCCTTGTTTTCTGTAGGGAATCTAGTCATGAGGGTAGTACAAAAGCTAGGAAGAGAACTGAGGAACGGTGACCAATGTATATTGCTTCACACCTGAAAATTTGGGCTGACATTTTTATATCAGAAGGCAAAAGTCCTTCTTCTAATCCACTTGCCTAGTATTTTTATGCCAGCCTTTTCTCCCATGCTACTCTGGTTATTGCAACATAATTCATTTATTGTGCTTATAGAATCAAAATGGTGGTTGGAGGAAAAGAACAATGGGAGTGAAATTAGACAGATTTTCTTGAACTGGCCTCATGGAATCTGTTCAATTAAGCCTGTGCTAGCACTAACTCGATCTGATGTGAGTCAAGCCAGCATGTAGACCTCCATTTTAAAAAACAGGTTGACTTAGAAAAGGCCATGGAAATTTGTACAAAATTGGACTCTGTTCCATATATCTGCACAAGCAGTGTACATTTGCAGAAATTGTAGTTTGAAGGCCTGAATTTCACACAATAGATTGTAATTATGGGCAAAACTTCTGTGAGTTCAGTCATATCCTGTTCAAACCAGTCATTCTCAAGTCTCATTCTCTGACTTCCGAAATGGCCTTCTCATGGAGGTGGCCATATCTGTCATTTGGACTTTGACAACTGCCTTCCAATATGACAGTTGCCTCAGTGCTCAAAAAGAGACAATCTGTCCAAGTAGTCTTGGAGTCCATTTCAGAAGGACAGCTCAGGTTAGATTCTGTTAGTTTACGTAGCTACAAGAAGATAATTTCATTAGTCTCATATTTAAAATCCTTCCACAGTGACCATGGGCATAGAGGCAGTTCTTTTGTTCCTTCTGTTAAATTGGCATGCCATGGGCAGAATGTGAAAAGAACAAGAATTTTATGGGCTTGATTTGTGCTACTCTGTGAACAGGTACTGACTGGGCTCTACCTTTGTGGGCACTGGAGAAAAATCCTATATATTACTATGGATTTTGCATGCATTATTGTTCAGTGTAACTGATAGGGCTGCAAATTCACAATTAATAAAAACCAAATTCAATTTCCCTCTCATCCCAAGCCAGGATTCCAAGTGTATACGGTAAGAAATTGTGTGGGAACTGGTGACTTGATTTATAACAGTGTGTCTTAATCTAAAAGTAAAATTTTAAATGTATCTTCCACGTCTAGGGGTTGTAGAAGGTGACCTAGCTGCTATTGAAGCCTACAAGTCATCAGGAGGAGATATTGCACGCCAGCTTACTGCAGATGAAGTACGCTTGTTAAATCGCCCTTCTGCTTTTGATGTAGGATACACACTTGTTCATCTTGCTATACGTTTTCAAAGACAAGATATGTTAGCGGTTCTGCTTACAGAGGTGAGTCTTTACTTTTGCTGTTATGTGTACTTGGTAGTCCCAGAAATAGCTAAAACATCAACAGGTACTATTTGAATAATGAAAGTAATTATGACACTTTCATTGGTTGGTTAGTTTAAAAAATGTTTGGGTAAATGAGAGAGTTACATGAATAATATAAGTACCACTTAGCTCAATGAAGCCCCTTGAGGATGTTTGCTTTTCCTTTGTAATATGGGCACTTCTATGATACAGAAAGAGAGGTGCTGATCATTGGTGGCTACTTTTTTCCTTAACAATGTGATTTCACTGTAGAAAATAGGTTCCATCTGGAGCCATCTTTAGAATCCTGCCATATCTGGACCTTTGATAAACAGAAATATTTCTCAGCTATGTCCTTAGTGAGGACATGAAAATTAATGTATTAGCAAGGAAGAACATATGTTTGTGTGTTGAGATATTTTGTTTTTCCCAAACTGACATTAAAGAATTTCTAATATAATGATTTAAGAAATAGCCATGTGTCTTACACTTCCCATACCACATATAAGCATGCCATCCCATTTGTAAATCATGCCCTTCAAAATATAAAATTATCTTATTTCTTAAAGTTATCCATTCTTTTCATCACATTAAAACACAAGCTTGATAATACAGTATCCAATCAGTAAGACCAAAACCCCCATTCCCTTTGGTCTCCTGGAGCACTTTTAATTTAATCCTTGGTTTCTTCATTTGCCATATAAATCTCGAAACTTGGGTATTTAAATCATCAAAAAACTTTTTATCAATTTTTATGGGAAGTGTTTGGAATAAAAACAAACACTTTGGTAATATATTCATTTTAACTATTGCTGTTCTTCCCAACAGTGATACTTGCAAATTAGCCCATTTTTCCAGATCACACTTATTCTCCTTACAAAATTTAACATCGTTGTCTTCTTTCAATGTAGAGCATTTAGCTGTGAGAAAAATTCCCAAATATTTAACCTTTTTAACAATTTGAAGGTCTGCTTGCTCCATCAAGGTCGTTTTTTGCTCCAATGTAAGATTTTTCACCAACGGTTTAGTCTTTTCTCTATTTATTTTTATCTCAGTAACTTCACCATAGTCTTCTATCTTTTTTAAAAGTTTAGGCGTCTTTACCAAAGGATCCTCTAAGATAAAAACTAGGTCATCTGCAAATGCTTGAAGTTTATAACTTTTGTCTATGATTTTGGCACCTTTAATATCCATATCCTCTCTAACATTTCTATTTAGAACTTCTAAGATCATAAATATAAATAACAATGGTGATCAAGGACATCCTTGTCTTGTGCCCCTTTGAATGTCAATAGTGTTTGTGAGTTTTCCATTAATTATTATCCTAGCAGTTTGTTTTTGATAAATGCTTGATTTTGCATTAATAATTTTTCCACCAAATTCCATTTGTACTCATTGTTGTTTCATGAATTGCCAGTTAACATTATCAAAGGCCTTCTGTGCATTGAGAAACAATAGTGCCATTGGTTTTTCAGAATGGATTTCATAATATTCTAAGTTGTTGAAATAGGCTTGCCTACTGCTGATTCTCAGGGAAGAGGAAGGATCCCCTTTTTCTCTTTTTTTTTCTTTTTCTTTTTTCTTTTTATTGTTCTTTTTCTCCTCCTTCGACCTACTTTATAATCTTACCCTGCTTTAATCAGTGCTTTGAGTCATTCCTGGCCATGTCGACGTTTATATATCCTGGGGAACCCACGGGGGCTGCTATTGGCGTGGTCACGGGCAATGGTCGTTACAACAATAGGGGCTTAACGTGTCCACGTAGAAGAAGGATGGACAGATGGCTGACACCTGTCCCTCCTTCTGATCCTGCCCCCAACCAGAGGGCGCCAGGTAGCCTTGTCAACCACCCCTCGGGTCTGACGGTGCTGCTGCTCAATGCCAGGTCGATCAATAATAAATCTTCCCTCATCCATGACTTGATTGTGGATGAGGGGGCCGACCTGGCTTGCATAATGGAGACCTGGGCGGGAGAGGGAGGGGATGTTGCCCTCTCCCAATTGTGCCCGCCCGGGTATCTGGTTCAACACTGTTCACGCCCAGAAGGGAGGGGAGGGGGAGTCGCGTTGGTGTACAGAGCCTCCATCTCTCTCACGGGCCTTCCGGTCCCTTTGAGACCAGGGCTGGAGTGCCTCTACTTGGTGTTGGGCGAACGAGACAGATTGGGGATTCTATTGGTGTACCGTGCACCTTTCTGCCCAGCAGTCTCCCTATCTGAGCTGACAGAGACCGTCTCGGATCTGGTATTGAGGACCCCCAGGATGTTGGTCCTGGGGGACTTCAATCTCCATGCCGAGTCTGGACTGACCGGGGCGGCTCAGGACTTCATGGCCTCTATGACGGCCATGGGCCTGTCTCAACACGTCACTGGCCCTACCCATGAACGTGGACACACTCTGGACCTGGTATTCACGACGGGGCAGGTAGAGGATGACCTGAGGGTGAAGAACTTATGTTTGACTCCCCTGTCATGGTCAGATCACCTCCTGGTGAGGTTTGTGCTCGAGAGCGGCCTCTCCCTCTATAAGAGTGCGGACCCGATTGTATGGGCCCGCCCCCGGAGCCGGATGGATCCGGATGGATTCCTGGGGGCCCTGGGGGAGTTTCCGGCTGACAAGACTGGTGCTCCTGTCGAGGCTCTGGTCGAACTGTGGAACGGAGAGATGACCAGGGCTGTGGACACGATCGCTCCTAAGCGTCCTCTCCCACCGGGCAGAGTCCGCTCTTCCCCTTGGTATACACCTGAATTACGGGCGATGAAGCGAGCTGGGAGACGGCTAGAGCGTAGGTGGAGGAAATCACGGGATGAATCTGACCGAACACACTTGAGAGCCCACTATCGGGCCTATGCTGTGGCGGTGAAGGCGGCGAAAAAGAAGTTTTTTTCCGCTTCCATTGCCTCCTCACAATGCCGTCCAGCGGAGCTTTTTCGAGTGGTGCAAGGCCTGGTTCGCCTGGGTCCTAAGGAAGATCCGATGCCACCCTCAAAGGCCCACTGTGACGACTTTGCCAGGCATTTCAGGGAGAAAATCGCTCAGATTCGTCACGAGCTGGACTCCACTAATGAATCAGAGGTCTCTGAGGAGTCGCCAATGCCACCGTCTGGTCCAAAATTACTGGAGGAATTTCAATTATTGCGGCCCAATGATGTGGACAAGGTGCTTGGAAGAGTACGTCCCACCACTGGCCTATTGGATCCTTGCCCGTCTTGGTTAATAAATAACTCCAAGCACGGGATTGGGACCTGGATCTTGGAAGTGGTTAACGCTTCTCTGAGGGAGGGTCGAGTGCCTGCCCCTTTAAAGGAGGCGGTAATACGACCGGTCCTGAAGAAAGCGTCACTGGATCCAGAGATGGCCACTAACTATAGACCTGTGGCCAACATCCCGTTTCTGGGCAAGGTGCTGGAGCGAGTGGTGGCGGGACAACTCCAAGCACTCTTGGAGGAAACTGATTATCTGGATCCTTTTCAGTCCGGCTTCAGACCCGGGTACAGTACTGAATCTGCCTTGGTTGCCCTGTACGACGACCTGTGCAGGGAGAAGGACAGGGGGAGTACATCCCTGTTGGTTCTTCTGGACCTCTCGGCGGCTTTCGATACCATCGACCATGGTATCCTTCTGGATAGACTTGCGGGATTGGGGGTTGGAGGCACTGCTTTGCAGTGGTTCCGCTCCTATCTCGACGGTCGATTCCAGAAGGTAGTGCTGGGGGACCATGTCTCTACGTCATGGCAGCTATGCCATGGGGTACCACAGGGCTCCATTCTATCCCCTCTGCTATTTAACATCTATATGAAACCGCTGGGAGAGGTCATCAGGAGGTGTGGGCTGCGGAATCATCAATACGCTGATGATACCCAGCTTTACCTCTCATTCTCCACTAATCCAGGTGAGGCAGTGGCTGTGCTGAACCGGTGCTTGGCCGAGGTAAGGGAATGGATGAGGGCCAATAAACTGAAACTCAACCCAGACAAGACGGAGGTCCTGTTGGTTGGCGGATCGGGTTTCGGAGAGGGTGGATTTGACCTGGTCCTGAATGGTGCAACACTCCCTCTTAGGGATATGGTCCGCAGCTTAGGAGTACTCCTCGACCCGGAGCTTTCTTTGGAAGCTCAGGTGACAGCGGTAGCGAGGAACGCCTTCCTTCAGCTTCGGCTGATTAATCAGCTGCGCCCCTACCTGGAGTACGACTGCCTGGCGACGGTGACACACGCGCTGGTGACTTCCCGCCTAGACTTCTGTAACGCGTTTTACGTGGGGCTTCCCCTGAAGACAGTCCGAACACTTCAATTGGTGCAAAATAGAGCTGCCAGGTTGCTGACGGGGACGGGGCGTTATGCTCACATGACTCCAGTCCTCCATCAGCTTCACTGGCTTCCCATTGAAGCCCGGGCCCAATTCAAGGTGTTGATTATGACCTACAAAGCCCTAAACGGCTTGGGTCCTGGCTACCTGAACGAGCGCTTACGTCCGTATATGCCCGACCGCCCTTTGAGATCTGCGGGAGAGTCCCTTCTCCGGGAACCCTCCATGAAAGAAATTAGGAGAGTAAGTACCCGGAGGAGGGCTTTCTCTGCGGTGGCGCCCTACCTGTGGAATTCACTCCCCAAAGAGGTCCGCCTGGCACCGTCGTTACTGGTTTTTCGGCGCCAGGTAAAGACCTTTTTATTTAAACATCATTTCAATTGTTAAAACATATGATCTGGCCGGGGCAACTTCTTCTTCCTTCTCTTTCTCCTCCTATATTTTTATTTTATACTGATAATTTTAATTTTGTATTTGTAAATCAATGTATTTTTTTGTATTTTTATATTTAATGGTAATTTATTATGTACTATTGTATTTCAATGTATTTTATCATGTTGTAAGCTGCCCCGAGGTTTCGGCAAGGGGCGGCATAGAAATGTTGTAATAATAATAATAATAATAAGATATACAAAATAATTCTCACATTGTTCCTAATTTGTTTCTTAGGTAAGAAACCATTTTGATCTGTATATATAAAGTCTGTTAGGTAATTCTTCAGTCTTTCTGCCATTACAGAGGCAAAAATTTTATAATCCACATTTAGAAGTCTGTAGTTTTGAATCTGTGTCAAGTCCGTATCTTCTTTTGGGATTAAGGTGATATTTGCCTCAGTCCAGGTATTTGGTATTTTAGCATCTAACAATACAGCATTGCATATATTCTTTAGAGATGTAGATAAAATTCCTTCAAAGGCTTTATAAAACTCTGCTGGTAGTCCATCCGGACCAGGGGTTTTATCATTCTTTTGTCTCTTAATCGTCTCAATTACTTCTGTCATAGTTATTTCCTCATTTAATATTTTTTGATATTTCTCCAACAGCTCCGATAGATTTTCCTTTTGAATATATTCATAAACCTTCTCAATTGATATTTCTTTAGCTTGGTATAAAAATCTTCCACTATTTTCTTAACTGACACACTTTGTACCTGTAGTTGTCCTTCTCCATCTTTCAACTTAGATATTAGTCTCTTTTCTCTTTTCTTCTCTAATTTATAGGCTAACCATCTCCCTGGTTTGTTAGCATTTTCAAAAAAGTTCTGTTTGGTCAGTTTCATTTGTTTAGCTAATTCATTTGTGTCTAAGAGATTCAGTTTATGTTTTAGAATGTTCATTTGTACTTTGAGATCTTTTTTTGATGGGTCTTGCTGTAGCTCCTGTTCAAACTTCGACAACTCATCTATCAATTTAAGTCATTCTTGTTTTCTCTTTTTGTTTATTTTTGCTGAGTAGGTTATAATCAAGCCTCTTAACATATGCTTTAGCTGTATCCCAGACATTTTGTAGAGGTTTCTTCAATTTTATTTTCTTGGAAAAAGAATTTTAATTCCTTTGTTATTTCTTCTTTGAAATTTGTATCTTTTAATAAAGATTTATTGTTTGTCCATCTAGGTGTTTTTATTTTTCCCTTCAAGGTCAGGGTTATAGGGTTTTGATCTGCCCAGACATTTGTATATTTCAGCTTCTAACAAATCTGGAATTAAATCTGGGCTTATCCAAATCATATCAATTCTAGACCATGACCTATGTCTGTTCGAGTAAAAAGTATACTTGGCAGAGGTTGTATTTTTGTGTCTCCAGGCATCTGTTAGTCTAAATCCCTCTGATATATTAAAGAAGGAAGTATCCTCCTTCCTTTCTTTCCATTAATGTCACTCTTGTAGTTTTTTGTTGACAATTTCATTGAAGTCTTCCATTAAACACAAAGTTTGGTACTCAGCTTGTAAAAGTAAAGTATGTAGTTTTTGGTAGAAAGCTTCTTAGTGAACGTTTGGAGCATAGATTGCTACTAAAATCACCTTTTTATGTTTTATTATCACTTCAACCAGTAGAATTCTGCTGTCTTCATCTGCTAAAATATACTTAGGATCCAGTTTTTCTTTGATATATAAAGCCAAACCATTTTTCTTTTGATGAGTGGAAGATATAAATAACTTTCCACGTTTTGGACATTGCAAAAGTTTATGGTGTTGTCTTTTTATATGTGTTTCTTGTAAACAAATTACATCTAATTTCAATTTTTGAAGTTGAGAAAAGGTCCTTTTCCGCTTAGAGGGTGCGTTTAGTCCATTTATGTTCAGAGAAAATAATTCAATTCTTCCTTCCATTTTAAGAGCAGTATTTATAAAGTATACATGTATCTATTTATATTTAGCCTTCATGCTTCTACCTTTTCTCTTTTCTTTTGGTTCCAATGACTGTTTGTCCTCTTGTTGATCTGTAGTTGCTATTTCTCCTTCTTCTGAATGGTAAGTTGTTACAGTCATTGCCTTGCCATTTTTCCTTCTTTCCTTTTCTTCAGTCCGCTTTTCATCTTCAAATGAACTTCTAAATTTTTCATAAAAATCTTGGGCCTTGATGATTGAATTCAGTCTAAATCTTGTGGAATTCCAAGTAAAAAATATCCCTTCTGGTGTTATCCATCTAAACATAATTCCTTTCTTTATCAACTTAGAAGTGAGAAATTGATAGTTCTTCCGTCCTTCTCTGATTCTCCATGGTATTTGTTTCAGAACAATCACCTCATGTTGATCATCAAATTTTAATGGTTTATCATGTGCAGCTTTGAGGACATGATCTTTTACAGATCTTTTTGTAAATTTAACATGAACTTCCCTCAGAAGTTTATGCCTTCTAACAACCTAATTGGTGGTTTGGTTAACTTCCATAATTCTTTAAGGAGTTCAAGATGCCATGCATAGTTATCCCATTTTCCTTCAGAAATCCTATGGGGCAGGTTAGGGTAAAAGATTGTTAATGGCCTATGATCACCTAGCACCCGCCATTTATGGCTTAGTAAAGATTGCGGTTCAGATGTTCTCACTGCAAGTCCAGCATGTTAAATTATGTAGACTATTGGCTCTTATCTGATGCTGACTTACTGAAAGTGTCTTTAGGAAAATCACTTTCTCAAGTGTTTAGTCTGTGCAGCCCATTTCTTTCCTAAGCTAATAAAACCATGAAATGTCATGTTACAGGTATCTCAACATGCAGCTAAGTGCATTCCAGCTATGGTGTGCCCAGAGCTTACTGAACAAATTCGACGTGAAATTGCTGCATCTCTTCATCAGAGGAAGGGAGACTTTGCTTGCTATTTCCTAACCGATCTTGTAACATTTACATTACCCGCAGGTAATTATGAAATACTTTCCTCTGTTAATGTCCTTAGTTGATTTTAATATTGTACGAAATTGCCAAGTTCTGACTTCTTGTACTGCAGAAGATGCTGGAGAGTCTACAGCAGCACTTTCAGTTCTTTTTTGTGGTCTCTGTGCATCACATGTATGGGGGCTCTGCACCTGAACATGGCCTGTTGTTGGGAAGGTTGTCTTAGCTAAGCTTGTTTTGTTAGGAGCCACACTCCCCATCCCCCTAGTATATTAGGGCAGGGCTCCCACCATTTTTCTCAGTACTTTTTTGTTTTGAGTGCCTCAAGTCTACATCCTAGCACTTTCAGCTCCCTTTCTACCCTCTTTGCTCATTTTTTCGCTCAATTCAGTCCTTTGAAGGGCAATGTCACAACAACTGCAAATGCAACAAATTATTGAACCATCAGGAGATTCAGTCTATGACATTGTCTGTACAGAGGATGCTATGCTGGTGGCCACTCTATTCCTCCCCATGTTCCTTCACACCATGAAGGAACCATAAAAGACCCCAAACACAGCCTCAGTCAATATTCTGCTATTTGGAAAGTCTCTGCTGTGTTCAGGAGAGAGACATCCCATTCCTGCCCCACCATCCACAGCCTATCATTGTAGAATTGGCACAGAATTATACGTAGAGGGAACACACCACCCTGGCAGACTGGGAAGGTCACCATCTGCATGTCATGATGAGGAAGGTCTACACAGCAATGGCACTGGGTCTTTGAATTTCAGACTACAAGGCCATCATGACAAGTTATCAGGTCTTCTTGTGGGAGAAGATGGGCACCCTAGCCGAGTTCCTTCTGGAACAGCACCTTGAACTGGCTAGGGTGTTCCAGGCCTTTAGACTCTCCAGGAAACAGATCAACACCACTCGTCACCATGTTGACTGTGACTCTAGGTCTTTGATGGTACAGTGGTGATTTGGACACATGCCTTGCAAGCCTTTCCTATGAGGTACAGTCTTATATTGAAGAGTTTCCTTTTGACGGAGAGGGACTCTGTAGTACCCAGACCAATGAGAAGCTGGTCAGTGCCAGAAGGCTAGAATGACTGTGAGAAGAATGAGCTTCACACCATTGCAATAGTCAAGACCACATAAGTGGCTGTGGGAACCATCCTCTTCTTAGAGTTGAGGCCAGTATCACCACCCAGTCAGTCAACAACAACCACCTCAACAGTGCCACTGGGATACCTCTCATTTCTAGCAAGCCAGCAAGAAATGGCTGGATACTGAGAGGAGATGCTTCTGACTGCTGATTCAAACTAGTCCCATTCTGTTGGTACAGATATAGTTTGGAGGCCTCTTGAACTTCTTCCTTCCGGAATGGGAAGCCATAACATCACATTGGTGGGTCCTTTCCTTTGTGGGGAATGGATGCTGCATAGGATTCAACATCCTTCCACCTCTCAGAACTGTTTGCTTCACAACCTCTTCCCTGAACTGGTGGAGAGGTTACCATGTTACTATCAAAGGGAGTGATCCAGCCCAATCTACATTATGGTTTCTATTTCTAGTACTTCACTGTTCCCAAGAAGGATGGTGGCCTCTGTCCCACTTTAGACCTGCAGGATGTTAACTTTTTATCTCACATAAGAAATCACACATGTTCTCGCTTCAGAACTGTCTGCCTTTGTTGCACCAAGGGGACTGGTTTGTCTCAATTGAGGCACACATATTTTCATGTCTTCATTCACCAGTATTACCATCAATTTCTCTGTATCCAGATCAGGACTGATACCTTTAAGTTCTGCATCCTCCCATTTGGCCTCTCTACAGCCCCCGATTGTTGATTTAAGTCTGTACTTATGGCTGTAGTGTGTGCCAACTTCTGATTGCAGGGGATCCATGTCTTTTTCTACCTGGACAACTGGTTGCTGGTAGCCCCATCCTGAGAAGTGCTTCTGGATTCCATCAATGTCACATGTGAACTTGTGGAGAGACTGGGACTGTGTATTAAAACTGAGAAATCTGTGCTTCTTCCCTCCCAGTTGGTTCTCTACATCGGGGAAATGCTGGATTTCATAATGGCCCAGATTTACCTTCCCCTGGACAGAGCAGCAGCATTGGTCAGTTTTGCCCTACAACTCTAGCTCAAACCCAAGACTATGATATGGTGGGTACAGCAGCTCCTGGGACTCATGCAACTGACCATCGCAATTGTCCATTTTGCAGGATTCCAGATGCAACCACTTCAGTCCTGGTTTGTGCATGCCTACTGACCTCATTGTGATTTGGTCTGGAAGTGGTTGATGCTTCCCCATTCTGTTTGAGCAAGTTTCTCCTGGTGGACCCTTGAACACAACTTGACAGCTGGGATTGTCTGTGTCCCCTGGGAACTCTTACAGTGGATCCCTGGATATGTTGCTCCAGGGATGGGAGGGGGACAGACTGTATTGGCTGCCAGACTCACTGCTTCTGGACTGATTGGGATCGTTCAAATCAAATCAACTGCCTCGAGCTCCTCATGGTCTAGAATGTTTTGATTGCCTTCTAGCTCCTCTCCTTGGGCAAAACTGTGGTGCTGTTCTACCAGAACAAGCAAAGTGTCATGCAGTCTGCATCTTTCAGTCTCTCTCAACCCTTTCTCACCACATTTGGGGCTGGTGTCTGGAATGGAACATCACCATTGTGGCAATTCATCTAGCTGGGATTGAGAACGTCACAGCAGATGACTTAAACAGGTGATCCACAAGGACCCATGAATGGGAGCTGCATCCAGACATCTTGAGACTGCTCTTCCAAATCTGGGGAACCCCTTCTGTGGACTTTTTTGCAATGTTGGCCAATGTGGCATGCGAGTCATTCTGTTGCTGTGCTGGGATCAGTCCAGGTTCATTGAGAGACATGTTCCTTTTCTGATGGGAAGAGATCTTATTCTACTTATAACTGTTCCCACCGTTCCCTTTGATCACAAAGCTGCCAGCAAAAGATCTGGAGAGAGAACACCTCTTGTGTCCTTGTGATTCCGTGATGCCCCAAGAGGCATGGTTTGCCCATCTCCTCTGCCTGTCAAATTGCAGCTTTATCTGCCTCTTGACAAGACCAGATGCCATCTCTTGGGACCGGGGGATGATCTTGCATCTGGATGTTGGAACTGTCCAGCTGACAGTATGGAAAATTGGTTGATAGATTGGGAAGCTCTCCACCCTTCTAAAATCCAGTTGGTCCTGGGTGCAACATGGCAGCCAAACATGAGGCATTCTTACAATGCCAAGTAGAATACTTTCATGACTTTTGCTCAAAGAAAAATATTTGATCCACACTGGGTGAGCATCCAGCAAGTTCTCTGTTCTTCGTCGTGGCCTCTGTGCATCACACATATGGGTTCTGTGCCTGCGCAGTGCCTTTGGCCAGAAGATTGATAGCTAACGGTTTCCTTTTCGGCGGTGACTCTGCTCCCCCTCCCCCCTAGCAGTATATAAGGAGCAGAGTGACCGCCATTTTCCAGTCTTTGCGACCGCCGTTTCGCTGTGCCTAGTGCCGCTTCGCTCTTGCTAGGATTTATTACTTACCTCGTTCGAAAATCCTTGCCTTTTTTCTCTTATCAAGTTGTATCCCTTGTTCTTGTTGTTAGTACTTCACTTATA